ACTAGTTACAATTAAAATAAATTAAAATAAATTATAAACATTTTAATTACAATTAATAAATCACAAATGTCCATGTTTACATTTATTGGGGGCAAAACAATTATCACAATAATTATTAAATTGTAAATACAATTATAACCAATCTCATATATAGAGTTACGACATCGATGGGCACATGTTTCCCAGTATTTTACCTTTATTTTTATTAACTATATTCAAATGGTTTATAGTCTAATGGTATTCCTAGCCTTCGAGTGACGCAAAGGAGTTATAAATAAACCACTTTATAGTGTAATTTAAGGGCATATCTAATTTGTAAGTGCACATGACCATAATTAATATAATTAATTTGAAATGATCTCGGTCACCAATTCGTGTTTCACCTTAGGCTCAATTGTGACATAATTGTTAAGCATTACAGTCTTCACAGAATACAATTCTTGCAGACAATTCATTAACCGCTTGAACCGCATCTCTGCCTCTGTTTTTGAGTTATGTTTTAACTCTAAATACCGTTGAAGTAAATACATGTATGTCTCGCCTTGAAGTCTAGTAACAATTACATAGAATAACTTAATTTCACTGTTTTAACATTGCGCAAGATCACTTACCTAATCAGATCTCGTTGAACCAAATTTGGTCGATTAGGATTGAATACTATTATACCCATTAACTGAAAAATAAGGAAATATAATATTTCATAATATATTATAAACATTATTAAAATATAATTACCAAATCAATAATATTAATGTCTTGATTATATTCTTGATAAAGTCGAAACATAAAACCTTTTTGAACATCATAGAAATTAAATTTGCCGTATTTTAAAAACTCCAATTTCATAACAGCAGCATTCTCGGAATCCTAAATAATAACCATCATTAGATATATAACCAATTATAATATATTATAGAATTTAATACAATATAAACGGTCCACAATTCTTTCACGAAGTCAAATGTGGCAACAGATATGAGGCATAGGATCTCAAGACAACAGGCCTTCAATAGGATTATTTGGTCGGTTTCGCACAAATCCCTGAATTCAGTCATTGTTTTACACATTTTGACTGTTTGTCGACATCTCATATCAGTCCTGATTTGAAAGACACGATTCACTTCGGGTAAAGTCTTTGCATTCCATGTAATTCTCTCTATTTTGGGATCTCTTAAATAAACGGTTGAACTAAACAATTGTCTCAAGCGATGCATTTCCTGTTCATTGAAATTAAATATAAACCCTTTGATGAGATGTGGGATCCCATTGATGACTATATTTTCTCTGTATTCATCCTTTTGTGTCCATTCGCTATCTTTTATCATTACATCTCTTTCTTTTTGTGAAAGAAAAGCTCCCTATTTATGAAAATGTAAAAATTGTTTTATAAACATTTTATAAGCATAAAATATATGCTGTATTTTATAAACATTAAATGTCATAAACGCTTTTTAGTTAAATATAATTATTTATAATAATATTTAATAATGTTGTATGTCATTCTACGACAAAATATTTTATTTAATTTGAAACAAAATGAATTTTAGACTAATTTCTACAAAATTAATTCCATCACAACTAATGTGATTTGATTTACTTATTAAGCCTTAATAATTAACGATTAGGTTAACGTAAGAAGGCGTTCAGAAAAAAATGTCCATAATGGCCATAACTTAAAAACGAATGAAGTTAATTTGATTCTGTCTTCGGATTATAATAACACTAACCCATGTCCACAT